AGACATATCCCTAAAAGCCAGATATGGGATTGCGGAGCACTCAGGTGATGCCCCCTAACGCTCCCTTTCAAGCTCAGAAGCTGACGCTCAAGAGCTTTTCTAGCTCTCTAGTCCTTGCTCTCTCCCTTTGTGTCAACTCTGGTTTCTAAAGAAGATGCTAAAACAGTTCTTAAACCTAGGTTCTTACCAATACAGGGAGACGTCGTCTTGGTAATCTCCATCTCAGAATCATAATAATTCAAGACGTTTTCTGGGATGACATTTTCTCTCCCTCATGTACTCTTTTGTTCTTTTTTTTTTTTACGTGATGAAAAAGAATAATGAGCTCATATGAATTCTGGAAAGTTATACACGTCCTTGACTTTCCACCTGTCAGTGTTCAAACTCTACCTGAGAGGCAGATTTTAAGACTTTCATCATGAGCTTTCTATTGTGAAATAAGATAGTCTGGAAATAAAAGCTGGGACACTAGGTGGAAACAGGCTGGTGGTAAAGGCATACAGAAGAAAAGGTGACTCTGGAGGCCAAAGGTAATGGGAGCAGAGTCAATGACATCAGTCAAGTTAACCATGAAGTCCCAGAGCCCTTGCAGATGGCCAGAGGGAGCACCTCATCAGTACAATTGGAGCAGGTGCGGAACCGAAAGACCAGGCGACCTTGTGGGGGCCCCAGTGCCTCAGGCAGGAGTCTGCCCAGGGTGCTGGGCTGAGGGGGAGCCTTGGGCTGAACTGTGTGAATGTGGTGGGAAAATTCTAACAATGAGAAGCGTTCGAGAGCAAGACTGTCTCTATACTGTCCACATTCTTCCCCAACTTTGTTTTGCTTAAGTGAAATGCATGTTTTGGGGATTTATCTGTATTAATACATGCAGCTCCAATTTACTTGTCCAAAATGTGCATAGATTGACCCATGCTTTTGTAGAGAATTGAGATTCACCAACTTTACCCAAAAGTTTGTGCTTATTGACCTAGAGATGCCAGGACAGGAAGGTTACCAGAATTGAACACCATAGTCTATCATGACAACATCCAAAACAGAGCTACACCCCATGCCCCAAGCTTGGAAGGCACCTCCAACACAGCCAGGACCTGATACAGATGGGCAGTCCTGTCCTGGGCTGCCCCAGACCTCCAGTTGCAGGGTGGCTTTTGAATGCTCAGAAATCATTGAGCACACTAATAGTGGGAAGAAATATCAGGTAATTCCCTTAGCATAAGTCTTATCTTTTCCAGTTAAGTACATTTTTATATATTTTTTAGGCAGGTTCTCCCTCTGTCACTCAGGTTGGAGTGGAATGGCAAGATCTCAGCTCACTGCATCCTTGACCTTCATGCTCAAGAGATCCTCCCATTTCAGCCTCCTAAGATGTTGGGAAAACAGATGCATGCCACCACGACTGCACATGCCATCACAGCTGCCTAATTTATTATCATTTTTTACAGAAACAGGGTGTCCCTGTGTTGCCCAGGCTGGTCTTGAACTCCTGGGCTCAAGCGATCCTCTCACCTCAGCCTCGCAAAGTGCTAGGAATACAGTTATGAGCCAGCACGCCCAGCCCCCATTCAATACTTCATTTATATATAATCCCATGGACTAAGGCGTCCACACAGCCTGAAAAAACCAGGAAAGTGAGTCATCTTGCACTTTCCCTTCAGAAATTCTGTGATAAGCTAAAAGCTGCTGTGATATCCGCAAAAGAATAACACCTTAAAGCAAGCAAACCAACAGGTCTTCTGAGCAGTATTGCAAAACAATCCTTGCTATCCTTTAGCCCAAGATATTTTAGTAGTGAAAAGCAGCAAATAGTGGGTGTCTGCCATCCTCTAAAGAACATGAAGCTTGTTGAAAGCCACTGACTTCCAGGCCCTCTGGTTGGGGCATGCATCTGGAAGCATTCATCCCTCTGAAGGGTTTTGATTAAATGCAGCAAAGGAGGCTGTTAGTAACTCTATCAGCTGTCTGAGCAGTTGTGACTGTCATTTAGGCCTAGTAATTCGTCATTATATCATTCGGAGACAGCGGAGCTGAGGATGGTGTTTCACACTTTCAGGGAAGTGGATTGGAAGTGCGCAGCCCCAATTGTTGGCCACGTAGAGGCTTTGTGAGCCGGGGTGAATCTCTGAGGTTCTTTCTCAGTCTACGTGGTAATTATGGCTTGTCTAGTTCTTAACTGCAAGTAACAGTAACTAAGCCTGGATAACTTGAAGGAAAAAAAAAGATATGGGGTTGTTCCCAGAATTAAGAGAAAAGCCCAGTGACCAGGTCGTGGGAATGCAAGTGACCCTGTGGAATGAAAGATTGACCTCCTGGCAGGGGGTGGGTTGAGGGCCTGAGGGTAAATTCAGCCAAATGTACCTGACCCTGCAGGTCAGGCCCCAAATCCTGGGAGACAGCCCCAGCTCAACCACGGGAGTGCGCTTCCCCCACGCCCAGTCGGGGACAGTCAAGGAATTGTGACCAATGCTCATTAAAGCTGATCGTCATCGGGAGGAGTGACTCTCAGGGGACGTCCAGGTGCCATTCCCACAGGAGAAGAGGACGCAAACTGGGTTTCAATAGCCACGGATGTCCATGCTATGGATGGTAACACCCTCGCCTATTCTGCATCCTTTAGTACATCAAATAATTATAGGACCCCCATAATTTTAGAAAAGCACTCCAAGGCACAGAGCAAGACAGATTTTATTTATCATTTTAAAGAACTGTAGCGTGGAACACATTGTGGGATCTCTATTTTCTTGCTGCCCCAGGAAGCTTCAACTCAATGTGTTAATAATTCAAGAGGGTGTATTATGTATGAGCATTCTGTGGAATGTGAAAATTCATGAGAGTACTTATTTCCCTTTGAATTCTTAGGTTTGGTAGTTATTTTCTCAATGAAGTGAAAGAAGATTCACAGGTAGAACAACAGAAGAATTCAGAAAAAACAATAACTGCATAAGAAAGGGAATATTGGACGCATTTCATAATGTGATGGTTTCTTGAAAAATAAGAATGTTGAAGCAAGAGAAACCTGACCTGTAGTATCAGCTCTGCCTATCTGTGCGTGATTGGGTAAATCAACTAACTTATGTATCTTTCTGCTTCTTCACCTGAATGATGAAAGTGGTAACACACACTTGGTTGGATGGCGGGGTTTTGCAACGTCTGCGAGTCAACCAAGTGCAGTGTCTCGCACTTGGTATTTCCTCAATAAATGGCACCTAAATGCAGTTGCTGGCCAGCAAGATACAGATTGCAAGTTGGACATCAAAACTCGGTCACTGCAAAGCCACCGTCGGGCTATTTTTAAAAAAGTATCGGTTGTTTTTCATGTTGTAATAACTTCACTCTCGGAGAAATTAGTGTATCATTCTGTTGAACTGTAAGACATTCAGCGTGATGGGCCACCAAGGACTTGTGTTTTCTCTCAGCCCAGAAATGAATGGGGGACGGCTGGTTCTGAATTTTAAAAGCTGTATGATTTTTTGCGCCTTCTTTAACTGTGATATTTGGAATGCTCTCTTAAGTAGGTCTATAATTCTCTTTCATGTCATTTTTTTAGTGTGGTGAACATTTACAAACAGAGCTCCCAAATTGAAAAGAAATCATAAAAAACGTAGGTTTTGGTTTGAAGGAAACCGAGGGTTCTTACTGTTTTTAATGCAAACCATCAAGAAATCTGTCAGCTTCAACGTTACTATTCTGCGTTTCATGGTTCCTGCTAAATGTGCTGTTGATCAATCATGACGATGTGAATGTCATGGGAAAACTATGGAGCTTCATTTTGAATACCATAAAGGCTCATTATGAAGACTCTCTTTCCTTCCCCTGCAAGGGACTCAGGTGCGCATATGAAAGCGAAAATAAATTCACACACAAAAATAGAAATCTAAAATTAAATATTTAATTAGAACTCTGATTTGCTTTAAAGATTGGTGGCATTGCACAGGCTATATTACACCCTCTTTATAATTTTTTTCGACAAAAAAAGATACTGTTCATTTTAACAGGCCACTTTAATATTAATACATGTGTAATAGGATTGGAACTGAAAATCAGCTAGAGATGGTACATTTTACATTATTGGGAAAATTACAGTTCTGTATTGTAAAAACATTTATTTTTTAACAATGTACCTACATTAATCAAAAAATTACAGCATATTTAATAATTTTACAAATTCTTCATAAAAAATATATCTCTGTACAAAAAGGTCTTTCGCACCTACGTCGTGACAGCAGCGTGTGGTGGGACGGGAGGGAGGGTCGGCGATGACAATGGGTTTTCCTGATCATAATGCCAGCGTTCTTTTTTTTTTCCCCCTTTTTATAATAGCTTTTTTGTTGTTGTTTACAAAATATTTTACAGAAGAAAAAAATTATTGCAGCTAGCCTGAAAAAAGGCAAGATGTGTGTGTAAAACAAGCAGCAGTTTTAAACAGCTCTGAAGCACATGTCCTGTGTTAGCGTGTGGTCGCGTCCCTCACGCGTGTTCCTGTTGCCTTCAGGGAAGAGTCTTCTAGACCTAACTCAGCAAGCACAGCTCCTGACTGCCCTAAAACGAGATCCTCCAACACCTTGCGGAGACTCCGTTCAACACTGCACACAACCCTAGGAAGAAACTAGGCAGAATTCTCACAAGAGAATTCCACTGATTTTTTTTTTTTCATTTAAATAACATGCTTCGAACTGGCAACCCTAGGACAGTTTGACTTTGCACACAAAGGAAAATCATATCTAATCTGATATGTGGTTTCTTGTATGTATGTATGTCCTGTCATTTCAGGATTTCATAGCATCATTGACCAGGGAGCAGGTCAGGGATGTGGGAACAGAGACATTAATTCAGACTCTGAAGTCAGCATTTTGCACCTAGTTTGAATGACTCAAACTTAGATATGTACAATATATATATATGTATGTATGTATATATATACACCTAATATGTATAGTAACCCTGTTCTCCCTTGCACACGAGCCTCCTCACACTTTCAACCGTCTTCTCTTTGTTTCGTTCAGTGTGTGTGTTAGGAGCACGACTCCCGCTGACCTCGTCCAGCAGTCTACTGTGAAACAGCAAGGTAAGGATTCCCATTGGCAAAGCAAATCTCCAAGGATGTGGGTAGGTTGGCCAGGGAAAACTGTGCAGAGAATTCGCGTAATGATACAGAATCCAACAGTGTGGGGTTCACAAGACAGAGGAGTCCCTAGGAGAGGCCAGTGAGTCCCCAGACAGCAGAGACCCCTTCCACTGAGGAACACAGCACTGGGAGCCGAGCTCTACGGAAATGTCCAAATCAAAACGCGTGACTCTCCAGAGAATGCCCTGTTTTCCTGACCGCTTTTCCTTTATTCACATTTGAAGTCCTACATGGAAACCTTCAGTAGACCGACAGATAAATCAGTCTTAAAGCTAGGTGTGAATGTGTTCACTCCGACAACGTGAAGGCCAATTTGAACATTCTGACATTTCTATTACCAATGCCAATCTAAAATGTGAAAATTTGCCACAATTGGATAGGTACTGAAATATCAAATAATAAAATAAGTATTATCATTTCAAAAATATTTTATCAAACAAGTAAAAATAAACATGATCTTCACTTTGAATTTGTTACATAAACATCCTCATGGTCACATCTTCTACTTCATGTTTTGATTTTTATTCACCCTGGGGATCATACCAATTTTATTTGTACCATAACTTTTCATTTACCTGTAATGTAATTTAAACCTGAAAAGTCACTGAAATTACCTTTCCATCTGGAATTATAAAGCATGAAACAAATAACAAATGAATGTATAAAATATATCATTGTGAGAGGACAGTGTGTGTACTTTTTCCTTCCCTCTAAAAGAACACTTAGTATTTTGATCCTGAACAATTTTCACTGAGTTCAAGGTGCTACTGTGGTATATTGTCCTTCAATGCAATATCAAAGATCGATGGCACACTAAAAGACAAAGAAAACAAACAAACAAAAAAAACCCAAAAAACAGAAAACAAAAAAACTGCAAAAGGGAAGGCTGCATTGTGAGTTAAAACTCACAAGTTCAACAACTATCTAAAATAAATTACTATTCACAGTTTTACATGGCAAACAGAAATTTCTGCAAACCCCCTGCTATTAAGTAGTATCGGAGAGACAGTAATTGGATGAGGATGGTACTAAAGGAGGAAAACCTGGGAAATAAGGAGGCTTCTGTTATTTTCTCATTGGACCTCTTCAATGAAGTCAACACATAAATGGAGCTAATTGAAGCAATAATAAAATAAATCTCTTCAATACTGTATTTCCTTTTAAATCTGTGCCATATCTAGGAATACTTTTCCCTAACACTCCAACTAAGCTGATGGTGGAATGGTTAGCTTGATAATATGAAAGAATGCTTATATACAATGGATAGTGTGTATAAACCCTGTGTAAATAATTTATTTTTTATCAGAATCTTACGCAGTCATTCATAACACACTAGTGCAAAAAATTGTGCATCAAACATTCTGCGACAGAACAGCTGATTGGGAAATTTGCAAACATCCCTAGAGATGAACACACAGGGGAGCTGTGAGGTCCTCAAAGCTTGCCAGGTCTCGGAAGGACAGAGTGAAGCCTTTGTAGGTGTGTGCCTCTATCAGAAAGGTGTCTTCTTCCAGAAAGCTTATTATTTTATTTTTCTCAAAGTATTCATGTTCATGGGGGTTAAAAAAAAACACACACACACGCACAAGAGAACACATATTGTGGTGCTACCATTTTGTCACCGCACCCGAAGGACAGATCCACGAGCCCAGAAGATTGCATTGAAAGGCATCCCAGCAACACAGAAATACGAAAGTCTGAGGCATTGAGTACGACGTGTCGGCGTGACGTGGCAGTCTTCCTGGAGTGTGCCTTGATGTCAAACAGGTGCAACCAGGCATTTAGAACCCACTTTCGGAATGAAAACGCAGGTGTACTTTGATCCGCAGAAGACTCTGGCACATTTCAGTAGAGATCCCCGCTGCACGTATGCCAGTAGACAAGGTTGAAGATCGCTGCAGTAAAGCCAGAGTGGAAGGGAGAGTGGTATATGGCACCAAAGGAATCACTGCTTGTCCATCAGAGGTATGGCTATGAATCAGTCCTGTTGGGGCACTGAGGGCTATACCACTGTACAGACTGTGTTCAGAGTTGTGTCAAACCTCACAGCCTTGGCTTCTGTGGGTTTTAAGTTTGTATCATACATGGGGTTTTCAAACGATGCTTGTCCATTGCTGTTTTCATGCCCAGCATAGCCATTGTATTGAACTTTTGGTCTCGTTCTAAGGAAAACAGAAAACAAATCATTAGAATCCTGGTTTCAGTTGGAGATTTAGCAGCCGGGACTGGGTGCAGGAGACAATGTCTACAGAGCAGGGAGTAGTACAGCCAGGACGTTTGCAAAGAAGGAAGGCGTCCACACCTGCGCACCTGTCAGTTTATTTGTTTAAATTGGTGACTGGGAATATAAAATGGGTTTTAAAAAGTGAAGCAATTTCAAAAATTAAATAAAAATTTTTTGAGACAGGGTCTCACTCTGTTGCCCAGGCTGGAGCGCAGTGGCACGACCACAGCTCACTTCAGCCTGGACCTCTTGGGCTCAGGCGATCCTCCCACCTCAGCCTCCTGGGTAGCCGGGATCAAAGATTTATTTATGCTTCCTACAAATGCCCCAGGGAAATTGGGAAGGTCCTAAAGGCTGAATTTGACTGGTTTTGTTTTGGATGTCTATTTATCACTGATAAGTTGTATGGCCTTGTTTAAGTCACAAAACTTTCTGCTACTCTGTAAAATAAGGTTGTGGGCATATGCCTAGCCTTTAGGGCTGTATGATTAAGCTAAATTTCAAGTTTAAGCTTTTAGTTCACTGTCGTTACTAATATTCACAAAAAAATTATTTTTTATTTTGTCTCTGTTGAGTTAAAAATGAATCTGTTTATAAAAAAGGAACTATACTCATTATTAAACTATTATCACATTTTCTGGTTAAAAGAAAACCCGTACATACAACCTATGATAGAGAATTAGAGGATTTTCAGACGGCAAAGACAGAATCATGTCTGGTCTGGCTCTGGCTCCTTTTATTCTTTCCTTATTCCAGAAGAAATCAGATAAGAAAAATGTGCCACGTGGCAAAAACAGAAATTTAATGGACATAAACATGCTCGCAAAAACATCATTTGACATCGGGTGTCAAGAAACTTCTGCCGAGTCATTTACTAGTAGATTTCCTTATGTTACACATGCTCATTAAGAAAAAGAGAAGTAAGTAGTGCATGGCCCTGAGAAAACGGCAGAACTGCAATTTGTAACTGCCCTTGGAGTGGGAGAGGTCGACATTGCGCTTGGAAAATGCGCCAGCAGCAGCGATAGTTAGCAAACAAATCCAGCCCCTTGTGAATGAAGACCTGGCTAAAATGTTCACTCAATCGTCCAGATCATAAGCTGCCACAGTCCCTTCATGTCTAGGGAAATGCAACCCCAGAGTGGAACTGGCGGCAGCTGGATGCTGACGTGCACGAGTGCAGCTGCACCTGGCAGAGGGCTGTCAGGACCTCGGGCTCTGAGGAAGCAATTCCCCACATGCAAGCAACAGACTCAAAAATGAGCAGAAACAGGGTTTTTCTGGAGGAATACAGAGCCAATTCATTAAGAAATATTTATGTCTGCAGAGCCTCAGAAGCCAGTGTAGAGGGTGCTACAGGCTTGGTGCTTTCCTGACCAGGTGGTGAGAACTTGAAGGAAATGAATTGATGTGCTGCTGGCAACTGAGCCCTGGACTTCCTTGATTCTGCAAAAATTCCACCATCCCTCGCTCCTATGGCACAGAAGTAGAGGATGAAAAGACCCAACAGACTGAGAAGTCACAGTGGCCTCATAGCCGCCCTCTTGAGAGCTGTGAGGGGAAGAGCTTCCTTCATATTCAACATGCAGGGCAGCCTCCTGGTCTTGGTGCAGTGTCAGGAAGGGAGGGACTGCAGGTGTGATGACGACAGATTCCCCACTGGCCCAGAGGAGGCATCAAGTTTACATAAAAATAAGTGCTGTCCCCTTATATCTGGCTCTGAAATCTGAGATCTCTTTCCAAGGCACTGCCTTCACGGAGACACCCAACTACTCAACATCGACAGGGAAGATGCTCAGGTTTAATGACTAAAAGTGGTGTGTATTTTGAATATACCCCCCAATGCTACATTGTCTTAAAGTTAAGATATAATCAGAAGTCATATTTATGTATAAATATGCATATATAATTACGTGGGGTTATCTTTTTAAAGGCCAAGACAATCCCAGACTTACATGAAGGTTTGCATCTTTGCAGGCAAGTTAAGGGAAAACAGCTTTAATGGACTTGACCCTTTCCTTGGGGTTAATGTGGATGCCAATCAAAAACAAAAATAAATTTGTAGGAATTATAAGTTCCTACAGTATGTGTCTCTATAAGGATATTATATGACCCTGAGGAACCTTTGAAAGAAGATACATTTTTAGTGCATATCCCTTTAAGAAGAGAAGCCCCTCTAATTATGGCATCTTATTGGATAAGGTAGTGGCATATCCTTCTACATTTACTAAATTTTAAACTAGTCCTGAGCAGAAATTCAAGGATAAGGCTCATCAGACTTGTGTGTTTTGGGTATTTTTTCTTCCAAAAAATTAATACAGATGTGCCAATCTTTCATTTTGTAAATATCATCTGAAATGTTTTTTCACTGAGTCATATTCTTAAAGAAAGAACATTACCAGCCATAGGGAACTGAAGACATAGGTACAAGCGGCTAATACACCTTTGAAGCAACATTCTCTCTACTGTGTACTTCAAAAGTGACTACCAGAAAGCACATATTTAAAGAGGCTATTTCATGAGTTATTAAAAAAAAATCATGACAGTTTTTCTGTTTTCTGTTAACCAGAATTAAGTGAAATATCCGTATTATATACTGATATTTATTTAACCTACGTAATTTTATTTCAGGGGATCATAATTTACTTCTTATTATTTGTAGTTAATGCTACCATTTCAAATAGTATTTTTGAGTAGTTTGGCATTTCCAGATTCC